TTGTAACGCAAAGGTTTTAAGAGCGAGCGCAAAGTTTCTCGTAACGCAAAGGTTTTAAGAGCGAACGCAAAGTTTCTCGTAACGCAAAGGTTTAATGAGCGAACACAAAGTTTCTTGTAACGCAAAGGTTTTAAGAGCGAACGCAAAGTTTCTCGTAACGCAAAGGTTTTATGAGCGAACGCAAAGTTTCTTGTAACGCAAAGGTTTTATGAGCGAACACAAAGTTTCTCGTAACGCCAAGGTTTTATGAGCGAACGCAAAGTTTCTCGTAACGCAAAGGTTTTATGAGCGAACGCAAAGTTTCTTGTAACGCAAAGGTTTTATGAGCGAACGCAAAGTTTCTCGTAACGCAAAGGTTTTAAGAGCGAACGCAAAGTTTCTCGTAACGCCAAGGTTTTATGAGCGAACGCAAAGTTTCTCGTAACGCAAAGGTTTTAAGAGCGAACGCAAAGTTTCTTTTAACGCAAAGGTTTTAAGAGCGAACGCAAAGTTTCTTGTAACGCAAAGGTTTTATGAGTGAACGCAAAGTTTCTCGTAACGCAAAGGTTTTATGAGCGAACGCAAAGTTTCTCGTAACGCAAAGGTTTTATGAGCGAACGCAAAGTTTCTTGTAACGCAAAGGTTTTAAGAGCGAACGCAAAGTTTCTTGTAACGCAAAGGTTTTATGAGCGAATGCAAAGTTTCTCGTAACGCAAAGGTTTTATGAGCGAACGCAAAGTTTCTCGTAACGCAAAGGTTTTATGAGCGAACGCAAAGTTTCTCGTAACGCAAAGGTTTTAAGAGTGAACACAAAGTTTCTCGTAACGCAAAGGTTTTATGAGCGAACGCAAAGTTTCTCGTAACGCAAAGGTTTTATGAGCGAACGCAAAGTTTCTCGTAACGCAAAGGTTTTAAGAGCGAACGCAAAGTTTCTTGTAACGCAAAGGTTTTATGTGCGAACGCAAAGTTTCTCGTAACGCAAAGGTTTTAAGAGCGAACGCAAAGTTTCTCGTAACGCCAAGGTTTTAAGAGCGAACGCAAAGTTTCTCGTAACGCAAAGGTTTTAAGAGCGAACGCAAAGTTTCTCGTAACGCAAAGGTTTTATGAGCGAACACAAAGTTTCTTGTAACGCAAAGGCTTTATGAGCGAACACAAAGTTTCTTGTAACGCAAAGGTTTTATGAGCGAACGCAAAGTTTCTCGTAACGCAAAGGTTTTAAGAGCGAACGCAAAGTTTCTCGTAACGCAAAGGTTTTAAGAGCGAACGCAAAGTTTCTCGTAACGCAAAGGTTTTATGAGCGAACGCAAAGTTTCTCGTAACGCAAAGGTTTTAAGAGCGAACGCAAAGTTTCTCGTAACGCAAAGGTTTTATGAGCGAACACAAAGTTTCTTGTAACGCAAAGGTTTTATGAGCGAACACAAAGTTTCTTGTAACGCAAAGGCTTTATGAGCGAACACAAAGTTTCTTGTAACGCAAAGGTTTTATGAGCGAACGCAAAGTTTCTCGTAACGCAAAGGTTTTATGAGCGAACGCAAAGTTTCTTGTAACGCAAAGGTTTTATGAGCGAACGCAAAGTTTCTCGTAACGCAAAGGTTTAATGAGCGAACGCAAAGTTTCTCGTAACGCCAAGGTTTTAAGAGCGAACGCAAAGTTTCTCGTAACGCAAAGGTTTTATGAGCGAACGCAAAGTTTCTCGTAACGCCAAGGTTTTATGAGCGAACGCAAAGTTTCTCGTAACGCAAAGGTTTTATGAGCGAACACAAAGTTTCTTGTAACGCAAAGGTTTTAAGAGCGAACGCAAAGTTTCTCGTAACGCAAAGGTTTTATGAGCGAACGCAAAGTTTCTCGTAACGCAAAGGTTTTATGAGCGAACACAAAGTTTCTCGTAACGCAAAGGTTTTAAGAGCGAACGCAAAGTTTCTCGTAACGCAAAGGTTTTATGAGCGAACGCAAAGTTTCTCGTAACGCCAAGGTTTTATGAGCGAACGCAAAGTTTCTCGTAACGCAAAGGTTTTATGAGCGAACGCAAAGTTTCTCGTAACGCAAAGGTTTTATGAGCGAACGCAAAGTTTCTCATAACGCAAAGGTTTTATGAGCGAACGCAAAGTTTCTCGTAACGCAAAGGTTTTAAGAGCGAACGCAAAGTTTCTTATAACGCAAAGGTTTTATGTGCGAACGCAAAGTTTCTCGTAACGCAAAGGTTTTATGAGCGAACGCAAAGTTTCTCGTAACGCAAAGGTTTTATGTGCGAACGCAAAGTTTCTCGTAACGCAAAGGTTTTATGAGCGAACGCAAAGTTTCTCATAACGCAAAGGTTTTATGTGCGAACGCAAAGGTTTTATGAGCGAACGCAAAGTTTCTCGTAACGCAAAGGTTTTATGTGCGAACGCAAAGGTTTTATGAGTGAACGCAAAGTTTCTCGTAACGCAAAGGTTTTATGTGCGAACGCAAAGTTTCTCGTAACGCAAAGGTTTTATGAGCGAACGCAAAGTTTCTCGTAACGCAAAGGTTTTATGTGCGAATGCAAAGTTTCTTGTAACGCAAAGGTTTTATGTGCGAACGCAAAGTTTCTCGTAACGCAAAGGTTTTATGAGCGAATGCAAAATTTCTCGTAACGCAAAGGTTTTATGTGCGAACGCAAAGTTTCTTGTAACGCAAAGGTTTTATGAGCGAACACAAAGTTTCTCGTAATGCAAAGGTTTTATGAGCGAACACAAAGTTTCTTGTAACGCAAAGGTTTTATGAGCGAACAAAGTTTCTCGTAACGCAAAGGTTTTATGAGCGAACACAAAGTTTCTCGTAACGCAAAGGTTTTATGAGCGAACGCAAAGTTTCTTGTAACGCAAAGGTTTTATGAGCGAACACAAAGTTTTTCGTAACGCAAAGGTTTTATGGGCGAACACAAAGTTTCTCGTAATGCAAAGGTTTTATGAGCGAACACAAAGTTTCTTGTAACGCAAAGGTTTTATGAGCGAACACAAAGTTTTTCGTAACGCAAAGGTTTTATGAGCGAACACAAAGTTTCTCGTAACGCAAAGGTTTTATGAGCGAACACAAAGTTTCTCGTAACGCAAAGGTTTTATGAGCGAACACAAAGTTTCTCGTAACGCAAAGGTTTAATGAGCGAACGCAAAGTTTCTCGTAACGCAAAGGTTTTATGAGCGAACACAAAGTTACTTGTAACGCAAAGGTTTTATGAGCGAACACAAAGTTTTTCGTAACGCAAAGGTTTTATGAGCGAACACAAAGTTTCTCGTAATGCAAAGGTTTTATGAGCGAACACAAAGTTTCTTGTAACGCAAAGGTTTTATGAGCGAACACAAAGTTTCTCGTAACGCAAAGGTTTTAAGAGCGAACGCAAAGTTTCTCGTAACGCAAAGGTTTTATGTGCGAACGCAAAGTTTCTCGTAACGCAAAGGTTTTATGTGCGAACGCAAAGTTTCTTGTAACGCAAAGGTTTTATGTGCGAACGCAAAGTTTCTTGTAACGCAAAGGTTTTATGAGCGAACACAAAGTTTCTCGTAACGCAAAGGTTTTATGTGCGAACGCAAAGTTTCTTGTAACGCAAAGGTTTTATGTGCGAACGCAAAGTTTCTTGTAACGCAAAGGTTTTATGAGCGAACACAAAGTTTCTCGTAACGCAAAGGTTTTATGAGCGAACACAAAGTTTCTCGTAACGCAAAGGTTTTATGTGCGAACGCAAAGTTTCTTGTAACGCAAAGGTTTTATGAGCGAACGCAAAGTTTCTCGTAACGCAAAGGTTTTATGTGCGAACGCAAAGTTTCTTGTAACGCAAAGGTTTTATGAGCGAACACAAAGTTTCTCGTAATGCAAAGGTTTTATGAGCGAACACAAAGTTTCTTGTAACGCAAAGGTTTTATGAGCGAACACAAAGTTTCTCGTAACGCAAAGGTTTTATGAGCGAACACAAAGTTTCTCGTAACGCAAAGGTTTTATGAGCGAACGCAAAGTTTCTTGTAACGCAAAGGTTTTATGAGCGAACACAAAGTTTTTCGTAACGCAAAGGTTTTATGAGCGAACACAAAGTTTCTCGTAATGCAAAGGTTTTATGAGCGAACACAAAGTTTCTTGTAACGCAAAGGTTTTATGAGCGAACACAAAGTTTTTCGTAACGCAAAGGTTTTATGAGCGAACACAAAGTTTCTCGTAACGCAAAGGTTTTATGAGCGAACACAAAGTTTCTCGTAACGCAAAGGTTTTATGAGCGAACACAAAGTTTCTCGTAACGCAAAGGTTTAATGAGCGAACGCAAAGTTTCTCGTAACGCAAAGGTTTTATGAGCGAACACAAAGTTACTTGTAACGCAAAGGTTTTATGAGCGAACACAAAGTTTTTCGTAACGCAAAGGTTTTATGAGCGAACACAAAGTTTCTCGTAATGCAAAGGTTTTATGAGCGAACACAAAGTTTCTTGTAACGCAAAGGTTTTATGAGCGAACACAAAGTTTTTCATAACGCAAAGGTTTTATGAGCGAACACAAAGTTTCTCGTAACGCAAAGGTTTTTTGAGCGAACACAAAGTTTCTCGTAACGCAAAGGTTTTATGTGCGAACGCAAAGTTTCTCGTAACGCAAACTTTTTATGTGCGAACGCAAAGTTTCTAAGAACGCAAAGGTTTTAAGAGCGAACGCAAAGTTTCTCGTAACGCAAACTTTTTATGTGCGAACGCAAAGTTTCTAAGAACGCAAAGGTTTTAAGAGCGAACGCAAAGTTTCTCGTAACGCAAACTTTTTATGTGCGATTGCAAAGTTTCTAAGAACGCAAAAGTTTTATGAGCAAACGGCAAGTTTCTCAAAATGGAAATTTTTTATGTGCGAACGAAAAACGTTCTCGTAACGCAAACATTTTAAGAGCGAATGCAAAGTTTCTCAGTGTAGCGCAAAAGTTTTATTATGAGCGAACGCAAACGTTTTGCAAGCGAATACAATGTTTTGTTCGGATATTTGGATTCACATTACAGAATATATGTACAGTATATAATAAACTTTATTTAATATATAGCTTCTTGGTGGAGAGGTTTCCATCCTCGTCGCTAGCGCGGTTACTAGGCAAGAAGCAATTTGAGATTCCCTTCAACGTGCTGGACCTGGTGAACAGCCAGACGGTCACATGGGTGGGTGTGTTTTACTGCCCCCTGCTGCCGGCCATCAGCGCTGTCAGGCTGATGGTCCTCTTCTACCTCAAGAAGGTCTGATTCACACTCTTCATCTCTCAAATTCTATTTTATTTCAAGCAACAAAAATGTTTTTATGGTTTTAGTTAAAGGAGCTGTATGCAAGATTGTGGCCAAAACTGGTACTGCAATCACTTTCAAATTACTGTAGAGCGGTGTATCCCCTCCCCCTCCCCCCTGACTCAAGGTTGCCAGATCGGCTGCATTTTTTAATCCGACACGTTTGCAGCTGCAGCTGCGGTAACTAGAGCAGAGCTGGCAACCCGGATGGCGCAACACTACTGACTTCGTGATTGGTAGATAGGTGGAGGGTGGAGCATCAGACCAAAACACAACATGACAACATCAACATCAGTTGAGGGCTGCAACTTCACTTTTTAAATGACAATATCCTGGCCGGACTACTGTTGTTAGTGATATAAGTATTTGAAATGAACATGATTTCTCAATGTCTAGTGACATATCAATGCCATTTTATGATTAATTCAAATAAATTTCTTACATACAGCTCCTTTAACTATAATATACAGAAGCCCTGAACCGCAATTTTTTTTTTTTTTATCTACAATTATGAGAATAAAGTTGCAATATTTCGAGAATAAAGTTGCAATATTTCAAGAATAAAGTTCCAATATTTTGAACATGAAGTAGAAATATTTTGAGATTAAAGTCGAAACCTTATTTACAAGAAAAAAGTCGCAATATTTAGAGATTAAAGTTGAAATATTCTGACAATAAATTTGAAATATTTTGAGAATAAAGTTGAAATATTTTGAGAATAAAGTCGCAATATTTTGAGAATAAAGTCAAAATTACGAGAATAGAAGTTCCATAGAAGTTTTTTTTTTTTTTAAGTAAGAAATGCGCTCGTGTAGTCAAACTGCCTCAGACATGGATCTAAACATAATAATAGTTCTCGTAATTTTGACTTTATTCTCAAAATATTACGACTTTATTCTCGTAATGGTTAGACTTTATTCTCGTAATTTTATACATATTTTTTTTATGGATTTCTTTTTTTACACTGCTGTTCAGGGCTTCTGTAATAACAACCCTGCTTTCAGATTTAGATTTAGAAACAGCTAAATAATAATAAATATATCATCTGTCTGTCAGTTCACAGTGGAGCGCTGTTGTGTTCCGGCTCAGAGAATGTTCCGGACCGCCAGTTCTTCTGTTCTCTTCCACTTCATGCTGTTGTTGGGTCTCTTAATGTCTGTGGTCACATTAGTGGTCAACATCAACAGGTACTAGTCAACGCTGACATATATTTATAATATATTACAGTTTAAGGCAAGACTCTACAGGCAAATCCAGTGTTTTTCATGCACTGGTCGGTTTTGCTTCCATAATATTCTTCATTCTAGTGGAAAGAAAACATCCAAAAGTGTTTATTTTATTGCACTTGATCTCTCTGCGTCTGTCGATCTTTAAAGGCGCTAAATTTAAATCTGAAATCTCCACTTCCGCAGATTCACACACACCAAACTTTACAGTTTTATTCATATCTAATGTATTCTGGAGGTTTGTTCATATATCATTCGCCTGATTTATAGGAAATTGTATTCCTAAAAACATGTTTTTCACATTTTTCTGTCTGTTTATGAAAACAAAAATCAAAATCCCCTTTGGAAAAACCTTTAATATATCATCAAAATCAAACAAGTATTATGAATCTGGCTTTATCCAATGTTCAGATTTACATGCTGGAAATGTATGCAAATTAGTGCATATTTATTTAGATGATGCCTCATCATATTTAAACATAACATTTCAGAAAACTTGTACAAAACAGGTTTGCAATTGTTAATGTAAGTACTCAAGTATGGTGAATTAGTTGATGTTTACTCTATAGTGTCGCCTGGAGTGTCTTGCCTTGATAAAAACACCTATTCACCAAAAACGTATTCACTCATAATATGTGAGCGTTATATTAGTGTGGTTTTCCTCACGTTCATAACCCGTATCCTGGCATGTTCTCTTCTGAGGTTTCATCGGGGATGCTGCGGCCCGTTTAAAGACAGAACTGTGTTTAATGTGACGAGTGTGTGTATAAAGACGCTGCCCAATGAGGTCCAGAACACCATCAGCTACATCTCATCAGAGGCCTTCGCATTCGCTCTCATTCTGGCTGAGGTGTAAGTGTGTGTGTGTGTGTGTGTGTGTGTGTGTGTGTGCTTTTGTTTTTGTGATATATGAGGACACAAATGTGTATAATGACATGCATATTACACTGGTATTACAACATACACGTGATATATGAGGACATTGCATGAGTCCTCATATTTCAAATAGCTTAAAAAACATAAAAAACAATGTTTTTTTTTTAATGTAAAAATGCAGCATGTCTCCTGTGATGGGCAGGTTTAGGAATAGGGGCAGTGTGTGTGTGTGTGTGTGTGTGTGTGTGTGTGTGTGTGTGTGTGTGTGTGTGTGTGTGTGTGTGTGTGTGATGGGCAGGTTTAGGGATAGGGGCTGTGTAGGGGGATAGAATATACAGTTTGTCCAGTATAAAAGTCATTACGCCTATGGAATGTCCTCATATATGTGACCCCGCCTGTGAAACCCCGGCTAAAGTCGCAGAATCTAATTATGAGTAAAAGAGCGTCAAATTAGTCATAGCCATAAAAATGACAAAAATAGGTCATGTGAGTTTATTGCTGTAAATGATAGATTTTACCTTAGGTTTTGAGATGCAATAGTCAAATTTTCATTTATAACATGATAAATACTCAAATTAATGATTTTATTGACACAACGTTATACTTTTGCGCAAAAAAACAAACAAAAAAAAAACGGACGCGGGCTTCATAAACGTTGACTTCAATCGTCTCTGTGTTTATTTCGGCGCAACAACACCTGATGCCATTCGGCTCAGGACCTTCTTTTCTACCATAAGAAAGAGTAAACAGACCTTAATATCAATCCGCACGAGCAGCAATCACGTCAACATGCGTGGCAAAACAAATCAAAATGCGACTTAAGCCGGGTTCAGATGTCTGTGGAGATTGTTTCGTGTCGTCGCCAATATTTTAAGAACAGCTTATTTGTTTTGTAGCTCAATATTCTGCCAATATAATAATCTTATTTTAAGGACATTTTAGGGCTGCTACGTGTCAATATCATTATTTTGCTTGACCCGTCGTTTTGATGAACTATCTGACATGGCGGCACCGAAGCATGAGCAGGAACTGAAAATAGTTGGTTGCTTAAATAGCTTGTTTGATATTAATCTCGGTAGAATTATGATATAACCGGTTTTATAGCCGATTATTTTCTGGAGGATGATGGTGATGATGATGATGATGATGATGATGATGATGAACAGGACACATTCTTGGACGAAACTGACGGTAAGGTTTTGTCATTATTTTTTATGCTAAACGTATGCAACTTAGCTACTGTAAATACTGTCAGTGTTCAGCTAATTTAATTCTAACACATAATTCATCCTGTGATGCAAAAATAGTGGATTTAAATGTGTATTACAGATTTGTTGATTGGGATTGAGTCAGTTTAAATTAATTACGTTTATGACGTGATGTTGTGTTTGATTACACTCTGAACTGAAGTCTTACCACTCATAGCCCTCCCCTCAATTAATCAGATGCATTCTGACTAAACTGAAAAACTATTTTCATATAAAATGCTTTATTATCCACTTTAAATGTGGAATTAGCCCCCCACCTCATTATTGCATGTTACACCATCATGTTTTTAGGTATATTGCTTTGAATTGAAAAATTTCTCCTTGCTTTTTCAAGCAGTGACCAACATAATGATGAGGAGAAGCCAGCGTTGGTGATTGAACCCCAAGCTGGTCTGGGAAATCTGAAGAGGGAACACCAACAAGAAGAATTTGCTTCTAATGCTGGAAGTCAAGATGTGGAACTGAAAATAGTTTTTTCTTTTTTTCTTGCAACTGCAAGTATTTCAATAGGGAAACGTGTTCTTCATTTTTCAATGATTGAGAGTTGGTCCAGCATTATTTGCAGAATGATGTGACCCCTAGGATGCATGGAAATTTCCTATTGTTCCTATTAAGCTGCTTTGAAACAATCTATAGGCCTACTGTTAAAAGTGCTATCAATGAAGGTGACTTGACTTGACTTTTTTAAATGCCAAAATTAAATACTTTTGTGAATAGAATCCATGAGATTATCAAATATTTTGCATCTAGACAATTTCAGAACGTTTACAAAGTTTGAGACTGACCTGTTAAAGGGATATTTCACACAAAAATATTTACTCATACTCACCCTCATGTTATTCCAAACCTGTATATATTTCTTTCTTCTGTTTAACACACATAAAAAAATATATTTTAAAGAATGTTAGTAACCAGACAGTTGGCGGCACCCATTGACTTCCATAGTATTTTTTTTCCTACTATGGAAAGCAATGGGTGCCGTCAACTGTCTGGTTACTAACATTTTTTAAAATATCTTATTTTGTGTTCAGCAGAAGAAAGAAACTTTTACAGGTTTGGAATAACATGAGGGGGAGTAAATGATGACAGAATTGTAATTTTTGGATGAACTATCCCATAATTTTTATTTTTTTTATGTTACACAGTAAGAGAATGAGATTTTATACTGAAATGTTATATGTTAAATAATTTTTGTATTATTGACATTTTTTTCCACTGATATTTAATTTTACTAATAAAGTTATACAAATCATTCCACTGAATTGACTTTGTAATTGTTGCTACAATCAAGCACTTGTGGTATCCCCATTCGTTTCAATGTTTTCATGGTTTTAGCTTTTTGGACATGTGCAACATAATAAATAGGCCTGTTTTACAAAACTTTAAGTATTATCCTATAAATGTGTTATATATCACTGAAAATGGGAGAATCTCAGCTTTAATGTGGTATATGGCACATATGCAGGATAATTATGGATCAAATGTGTTGCAGTTTTAAAAGTAAGCTTTTTTTAAAATTGGAATTTCTCAAAAACATGATTTTCTGAGTCCGAAATTCAGCAAATCTTTGACATAGCCTTACTCAGTCAATATTAAAGATATCAAGGTTATATTTTCACAGAATGTTCTTTACATTGTGTAGGATGATTTTATGTAGAAAACAGTGAATCACAAAAAAATTACTTTAGCTGGGTTTTCACAGGCAGGGTCACATATCACAAAAACACAGCTGTGTGTGTGTGTGTTGCTGGATATAAGCAGCTGTGATGGAATATTCTCATAGCTAATGAATGTTTTGTCACTAACGTGTTCCGCCAGTGTGATCCTGACGTCGTATGTGTCCCGCCGGCGAGCGAACCGTAAAGCCATCGAGAGACTGAAGGACATGCTGGTGATGGTGAGTGTGTTCCCCTGAACAACGGAGAAGATTTACCTTCATTAACTTCATTCCTTTAGCAGGTGCAAATAAAGCACAAACACAATGTTCAGCGTTGGCCAACATCCCCACTAATAAAAATATGCTCTAAGATCAATAGATTAAATTATGAAAACATTATTTCTGAATGTTCAGGTTTTTTAAAGGCGTTTTGAGGGAATATTACATTTTTGTTACTTTCAGGGTTCGTAGAAGGTGCTTGAAGTACTCGAATATGAATTAATTCCTGGAAAACCCTAGAAAACAGCCATATTTATGAAGAGGTACTTAAAAATGCTTATTTAATTACAATATATATGAGTTTAGTTTTTTCGCAAAAACATATACAATCTTTTCATGCCAATTTAACGCTGCTGCCCGTCTGATAAACCCCCATCAGACCGTTTATAGATACAAAATACGCCAGCATTATAATTTAAATATAATTTATTGAACAATAATAGCCATTATAAACTTTGTATTTAATATATATTATTAAATAAGTTGTAAGTTGTATTTTGGATACCGTATCATCTGTAATTTGAGTTTTAAAAAATCCTTAAAAAATAAAAATTGTTTGATAAATTAGATAAATACCAAAAAAAAGTAGTGCCTTAAAAGTCTGTAATAGTCCTGGAATTTCATTTTACAGTATCTGTACAATCCCTGAACTTTTGAATGTTTCTTCTTGATTAAGTGAACATTAAGGGAACATTTCATTGTATCATTCTTCACTCATTATGGGATGTTACTTTTGAATGAACGTTCTGAAACAAGTACTAACATTTAAAAAAGACAAACTAAAACGTTTCAGAAAAAACATCCCATGAATGATGTATAGATAAGAGTTTAGATTAGAGATTACTGCACTATTAACGTTACTGTTCATAACTTTAAGGGTTAGTTCACCTTAAAATGAAAATGATGTCATTAATGACTCTCCCTCGTGTCGCTCCAAGCCCGTAAGACTCCGTTCATCTTCGGGACACAGTTTAAAATATTTTAGATTTAGTCCGAGAGCTTTCATTGTAAATGTGTGTACGGTATACTATCCTTGTCCAGAAAGGAAATAAAGACATCATCAAAGACAAGTAGTCCATGTGACATCAGTGGGTTAGTTAGAGTGTGTTGAAGCATCGAAAATACATTTTGGTCCGAAAATAACAAAAACTAGGCCTTTATTCCGCATTGTATTGTGTTCCGGTTCTGTTGTTGTGGATCCGCGTTCAGTGCCGCCGCTGACGTGTGTCTGGTGTGTGTGTGTGTGTGTGTGTGTATTCTGGTTCTGTTGTGGATCCGCGTTCAGTGCCGCCGCTGACGTGTGTCTGGTGTGTGTGTGTGTGTGTGTGTATTCTGGTTCTGTTGTGGATCCGCGTTCAGTGCCGCTGCTGACGTAAGACGCTGCTGACGTGTGTCTGGTGTGTGTGTGTGTGTGTGTGTGTGTGTGTGTGTGTATTCGGGTTCAAATAAATACGGCTGGGCAAAAAAATGCAAGTCTTCCTCTGTGTGGAAATCCTTAGACATGTTTGCGAAGATTGTTTTGTTTCCAGCGTGCGTCTCCCTCAGACTGTAGACGAAGCTCAGGCGCACCAGACACACACACACACACACACACACACACACACACACACCAGACACTAGGGCTGGACCCGAATATTCGTTCGGTGGGTTGGTATTCGATTTGAAAATGTAACATTCGAATATTCGGGTTTTTTTGCACACCTGGCACCCCCCTCGAAACGGTTCTCATTCGCGCTTGAATATGTTTTACACTATAAAATCTGGTGAAATATAATGCTTAACATATAGCAACTTTGCTTCTTCTTGGACTACTAAAAGTGTTCCTGCAACGGGAGTATTCTCTGGCCAGAGCGCAGAACAGCGGAGTGTGTGTGGACAGAAGTGCCTGAGCTTGTGTTCTGGGTTAAGCTGTGTTGCTTTGATATTGTGGAAAATAGAATAATAGAAACAAAATGTATTATCCTTTTTACCCGTTATTATCAATCTAAATTAATCTAGGCCTACTGCGAAATATAAATTGAAATTTGTGATGTTGTTATTGAAATTGTTATTGTTATTGCTACCGTGTTCTTTATTTAGGCTATTACAGTTCATTAATTTATTTTTCGTTTTTCTATATTTAAATTTCGTTTTTATTTATTTAAATCTACCCTACTTTGTCAGTGAGAAAAATATTATAAGACTAAACCTTATTAAAAATATTGCTTAAGTTAAAAGACCTGTGTGTGTGTGTTATATCACTAGTGCGTGCAGTGTCCGATCTCGGAGCATATAAGCCCTGCTCGCGTGAGGCGCGCCGCTTCTTTAAATCTACCCTACTTTGTCAGTAATTTGTTAGTGAGAAAAGCAATATTTTTAATAAGGTAGTCTAATATTTTTCTCATTAACAAATATGATATGCTTATATGCTCCGAGAACGGACACTGCACGCACCAGTGATATAAAACACACAGGGCTGTTAACTAAAGCAATATTTTTAATACGGTAGTCTAATATTTAAGTTAACAGACCTGTGTGTGTGTGTGTGTGTTTTATATCACTATTGCAGTGTCCGTTCTTGGCATATAAGCTCTGCTCGCGTGAGGCGAGCGCTTCCCGCTTGCGCTGTTCTGTAGTTTAATAAAAGTGTATTAATTCTGAACGTGTCGCGTCTCGCCTGTCTATCTATATTGCACCAAATACGACACTGCACTCCTTGTGAAGTCGTTTGGATGAACGGTTCTCGAAATAATCAAAATGCAAATGGACAGACAGACATATAGAGATTCAGAAGCTTCGAATATTCGATGTTCATTACTACCGAAGCTTCGAAGCTCAAAACATGGTATTCGGACCAGCCCTACCTGACACACGTCGGCAGCGTCTTACGTCAGCGGCGGCACTGAGCGACATGAGGGAGAGTCATTAATGACATCATTTTCATTTTCGGGTGAACTAACCCTTGAACTATGATGGTCTGTGATGCTCATTAAAGCAATGCAAGGTTTCTATTTCTTCTTCTGAACTATATGTTAGAATGTTAAAACACTTGTGTGTGTGTGTGTGTTCTCTGCAGTGCAGCTCTGATAAACGGTTCTTGGTGAAACAGCACTCGACCATCTCGCGGCGACAGCTACGCACACGCTAACACGACACCCG